AGTCAAGTGCTGAATGTGTGTGTAGATGGTGTGTGTGTGTGTGTGTGTGTGTGTGTGTGTGTGTGTGTGTGTGTGTGTGTGTGTGTGTGTGTGTGCGTGTGTGTGTGTGTGCCGATGAACTGATTCCAAGGCAGAGTCACTCAGGAATTGCATTTCCATTTATACAAAACACATCTTTGTGTGATTTCCTGGCAAGATTCGAATGAAAGTTAACAAGCCTGTGTTCTTTGAAATCATTTTTTTCTTTTTTTTTTTCAGCCCCCTAGTGTTTAGTTTAATTAGACTCCCCTAATTGTTCTGTTTTATCTTGTCATCTGGACTTGTCTCGTGTTGTCTTCATGTGTATTCCGTTTGTTTGGTAAACAGAACTTTAATTGACTCAAATGTGGAATCACCAAACGGGTCGTGCTGAAGTTCGTCCCGTTCACAAAGGCGTACAAAGCAAACGGAGCGATGCTCGCGTTGACCCCTAAAACACGTTACCTCACCCTGAAACTTTCCACCACCTAGCAGGTGGTGGCAAAACGGAACCCACGTGATCGCCGGGCTCCGTTTCAGATGTGTCTAATCATCTCTGTCCAAATCTGTTCCTTTCTCCTTGTCTCTTTTTTGTCCCGCTGCTTCTTTCGGTCTCTTTGCACCCACCTTGTGGAAAAGGAGGCAGATCCAGGTTCTGCATTGTCCTGACCTGCCCCGAAACTTCATGGGCGTCGGGTTGATTCTGGATTAAACACTCGTCCGTAGATTTGCAAGTTCATTGTGACTCACGTGAGTTTGTTTGGTCAAGTTCGGCCGAGAATTCAAAAAGACATTTGGCAGAAATTGTGCAACGTCTGTACATTTGCCAGTTCATTGTGACTCACGTGAGTTTCTTCGGTCAGGTCCGGCCAAAAATCCAAGAAGACAATTGTGCAATCGTCTTCATTGTGATTCGTGTGAGTTTGTTTCGGTCAAGTCAGGCTGGGAATTTAAGAAGACTTTTGGCAGAAGCCRCAGATACCTGCAGTACCTGCATTTAATTGAATTTCGATGTCATTGTTTTGTTTTCTCATGAACACAAGGTGGTTATGTTGCAAGAGTGCCTGGTTCTTGTGTTACAACCTATTTGGTTGTTCAGTATCACTGTCATGACAGTTGAAAAGGAGCTGTCAGTAAGCCAAGTCATGCACAACTGCTTGTTAAATGTTCCTTGAAGTGGCATTTTCAGCTTGAATGACTTGGTAGACCGACTGCCCTGATCTCTGATGAACAGGCAATGCTTTTGTTATCTGGTGATTTTCAAAACTGGGAGAAACGAACAACAGTACTGGGTCATAAAAGCTTCAAATGAAGAATTAAAGGCACAGTGTGTAGGATTTGTTGTTTTCAGCGACATCTAGTGGTTGAGTAGTTGAATCATCCTCCCTGGTCCTCCCCCCACCCCCACTCCCAGCTACCAAACGCAAAGGAGTTGCTACGGTGTCTCTCAACCTTTGATAATTCCAACCACGATGTCTACCAGCAGCTTCAGGGC